CCCTCCCCCAGGCCTGGTTTAGGGGAGCCAGTCCTCCTCCTCCTTGTCCTTGCAGAGGATCCTATTGAATTTTGGCTGACGGAGCCTTCCTCTGCATATTAACTTTCGCCTCTTACCTGGCTGTGAGCCCCTCGGCCCCTTCCCCTGAGCTGCGGGCAGCAGCGCTGGAAGCGTCCCACCCCCGGGAGACTTCACACACGCTCTTCTGCTGCTTTTTCATTTTACGCACTTGGCGCCTCCCTGGACACTCACTCATGTTGGTACCCCTGGCTGATGCTGGGTCTGAGGTGCCCTCTCTTTGGCATGCTCCTCAGCTTTCCTTCCCTGGTTTTGGGGCGCTGTCCCCTTGTGACTGCATTTGGAGTGTGGCTTGTGGTTGCCTTGTGCCTGAGCTAGCAGGTGAACAGACAGATGGGGAACAGAGGACCCCAGAGCTGGGAATGGGAGCTCCTCGAGGAGCCTGGACGCGGAAAAGCAGAATTATGTCGTCCTAGGACCCTGGCTCTGAGCGCTGCCTGGCGTCTCGGGGAACGCGGCCTCTTTAGCGAGATATATAGCTTCATAATTAGCCCGTTGCATTTTTTCCCCGAGTGCTAGCATCAGCGTTCTACGATGTGTTTCTCTGATTAACAGCTGCTTTGCAACTATTTCCTTGTGCCACCGATGACCGTATTTGTCAAGGAACTCCTGACAGAGAAGGGATTTCTTCCTGAAATGCTGCCTTTCTGTTTGAAGAGGGCCCTCTCCTTCTCGGCAGCGCCCGGCTCTTAAAATCGGTCCTTGTTAAAACCCTGCTTGGCTTTGGTCGAATGCGTGTTAAGCAGAGTTCCGGGTATCCACTTCAGAGCACAAGCGTAGGACCCTTCCACAGGCGGTTTAGTGTGCGCGGCGCCCTTGTGGTGTTGGCGTGCACTGGTCATCTTGCCATTGCCTTGTGCTGCCATCTCTCTAGGTTCAGAAGGACCTGGCTGTGGTTATTGCTGTCATTAATTTTTTAATATTCTTAATATTTTAAAATGGCTAATGAATGCTCGCATTTGAGGAGATAGATGTGTAGGTAGTACGCGGGAGTACTGGAATTGGTGGCGTTCCAAGCAAGTGTCACCGGAGACAATGCGTCAGGTTTATTTGTCAGTGCAAAGCGCTGAGGCTCCCTCCAACCCCAGGCCTGTCGTTGGCAGCCTCTGCTCTGCCGTCTCTCCTGTGCGGAAAATCCAGTGTGTGCTGCAGCTCGCGGTGAGCGGGTCCGCTGTGGAGAGCGGAGGAGGGCACCTGGGTAGCGAGGCTGTCAGGAGGCCCAGTTCCTCCCCCCAGGGCTTGCTTAACCCTCCACCAAGCATTTAGCAGCGCATGGTTCATAGCAGATACCCCGTGGGTATACAGCATGCCGCTGGTTTGTACAGTTACAGATCCTGGTCTCCAACACCAGTCTGTTGCACTTGGCCAATCATCTCAGGTCCTGAGATGTTTTTCAACCTGAAGAAGTCCGCCTCCACCTCCCTTTTTCCAAGTTGCTGGCCATGACTCTAGTGTAAGCATCGTCCGAAGGATACAGAGCCTAGAACTGACTCCTCTCTGCTCCTGCAGCTTCAGGGGATCAGCAGGGAAAATCAGAATATCCCTGAGACTGGGGAGTGGGTGACATGGAGGGGGCAGAAATGTGGAGCTTTAGCTCTGCCGCTCTCACTGCTGGCGACTGGAGGCAAACGAGAGGAGGGGAGCAGAAAGCTGGTTCTACGTTGTGGATGCAGCAGCAAGTGGCTCGGACACGGCCTCAGGAGCTTTGTGCTTGCTGCACTCTTACCACAGGCGCAGTGAAGTTCCTGCCTCCGTTTCACATCTTCGACATTGAGGTGGAAGATTTGGCCTGAATTTATGTAATTTAGTTGGGCACAAATATAATCCATGAATAGTCACATTCATCTTCTAATTAGAAAATCAAATGATAGCACAGGACAGGCCTCAGGCCCCCATCATTGAGCTCAACAAAAGCATGTTGTGTGTGTTGGACCTCTGCAGGCCAGGCAGTTGAGTTGCTTTATGACGTTAATGAAAAATGTCCAGCGATAGGTGGGAGAAGTCACGCAGGGAGCGCCCTGTCAGTTACCCAGTGTAGGAAGATCTCTGCGTTACGGGTAAGGAGTTTGGGGCAATCTTTCCCCATCTCTGTGGAACGTACGGCTGCAGAACTCTGCGTTGGACAGTCCCCTAACCCCTCCTCAGGGCAGTGGGGGGAGAAGAGGCAGAGCGGCTGGGGAGGAGGGAGCTGCTGATGCGGATGCACCTGCACGGAGCTGTTTGCTGGGTATCTTTCTTACTCAGCGCCTTATGCAGAGGCAGTTAGTTTGGGTGCTTTGTATTTTTGCATCTGGCGTAGTGATACCAATGCTGTTAAATATGTGATTTGCCTGTCGCCTGCATTTTCAGACAAAGATCAAGAGGAGCGTAAACAAGTCCCAAAGATACTTTATGTAGGTGTTTGGCAGTATTGTTTTATATGACTTGAAATTAGTGAATGGAAACTTTAAAAGAAATTGTTCATATTTCTCCAAGTTTGTAGTGTGCCGGGACTTTGTCAAATTCCCGTTAAAATAAATACGTCAATTTCATCTCCCTTCCAAATTCATTTATCTTGCTTTTTTAAAAGGTGTTTTCTACTTTACCTGATGTTTAAATTGGATTCGCTCGTTGATGCTGTTCTTTGCTATATCCCCACGTTTTCCTTAAATGAATTACTAATGACAGAACACTCCATCATTCCCTCTCCGCAGCCACTTTAAGGAAAGCATGGTGATCTAAACCTTTTAACCTATTAAAGATGATTTTTCCCAATTGGATCAGACCCACCACAGGTGTAATAACTAATCATTTAAACTACACCTGCTATTATGTATTTTTAAGCCATTATGCGTGTTGGATAGATGATAATTCATGTTTATTGCATTGTCCGATGGATCCGTTTTGCCTACACTAGGCTGATTAATGTATTTAAAGAAATAAGAGATGCAATTTTTAAAAAAAAAAATTGATGGAATGCACCCAGCACTGCATTGAGTGCACCATTAAACCCATCAGAACTTTGCTCTCTGACCAGAAATGCATATAGCAAGGACTATATTAAAAAGGGAAGGTGAAACCTGTGCGTTTTAGTGGTGGGATTCTGTTTTCTTTCTGTGCATGGAAAATTTTGGAAGGAGGAAGGAAAGGTTTCTGTGGGTGAATGATGGGAGCTGTTCTATTAGCGTCTTCTTCTAAGACCTGTTCGCCCACATCGTCCTGACACCTGGGACGCATATCACAGCCCGTGGAGCCTGCCGCACGGCACGAGTACCATAATTCCCGTGTCTGGGGAAGGTGCATTTTTCCTTCCAGGTGAACGGCAGTTATGCCCGGGCCTCCCATGGTTCCCCTGACCCTGTGATGGGAGCCTGTCCACCGTGCTCTCTGGGGCACGCGTCTCTCCTCTGTTCCTTGTTCGTCCCTTTCCACTGCCCCCGTGCTTTCCTGTATTCGTGTGTGTGTGTGTGTGTGTGTGTGTGTGTGTGTAGAAGGGGGCTGCGTTCCCCTTCTGGTTTATCTCCTCTTCTGTTGCCTTTTTTCTCTCCTTTTCTTTCTTCCACCCAATTCCATTTTTCTTTTCCCTTTTCTTTTTTTTCCTTACTCCTCCTCATGTCGCATCTTTAATGAAGCACACCAGAGCTGTAGACATTTGCTAGATTTTTTTTTTTTTTTTTGGATTTTTGATGACAACCGGAGGAGATCTGGGTGAGGGGCAGAGGGGACAAGCCTGCAGTTTTGGGCTTCTGGAATCGCAAACATTTTGGGGGTGGGGTACTGTTTGCAGCTTTAGTGAGTAGGTGGTGACCCCTAGGGGGCTGTGTTTGGCTCTCCAGGAACCTGGCACGTCTTAGGGGTGGCAGGCCCGGATCTGAGATGTTGGGGTACCAGTTCCTCCTTTAGGGAGGTGTCTGCTGCCCACAGAGGGGTTACCTGGAAAACAAAGAAGCGAGTTTCTCTGGCTTTTAATTTTTGTTCTTGTTGGGATTTGCCCTTGTGTGTTTTGTTACTGAGAAGTCTGTCTGGTCTCAGGATTAAATTCCTATGAAATACGGGGAAGGAGACACTTTGCAACTTGATTTTTATTTATAGTCGCCATGCTTTCTGTTTGAATCGCTGCACAACCTTAGTTGGAAGGATCTGAAAAAACTTCCTGACGTCTGGCCCCTTTCAACAACTTTGGAGTGAATCAGAGGGCCTGCTGACTTTCCCTGTAACGTGAGACCATATTATCCCTTTGGTCTTCACAAGGTGGAAAGTGTCCCCTTGCCTCCTTGGGGCAGTTGGAGTTGGCCACCCACAGGAGCCTTGTCGGGTGGAGAGCGAGCAAGCCAACTGCTTCCCTTCCGTCCTCTGCTCGGCGTCCTTGCAGATCTGGAGATTCCGTTCAGGGAGAAGGCAGAGGGGGGGTGGTCACCTGCAAGCTTTTAGCCGTGGGAAACCTGAGCTTTGCCTCTTGAAAGCTTTTCAGAATTCATCCCCGTTGCTGGAGAGGGGCCGCGAGACGGGCTGTGTGTCTGTCGCTGCTTAGCAGATCCCTGCGGCTGGCATCCGCTCAGCGCCTCGCTGGGCACTGTGCTGGCAGCGTGGTGCCTTCCGCTCAGTAGTTACACTGTGATTATGTCTTCAGTGACGCGGTACAGGTTCTCCATCAGAGAAGGCTGTGGAAGGGCTGAGCTGGTGCTGGGGGCTGCGCATGCGAGGGGTAACATTTAGACAGATAGAGCAGGAACACAGAAGCCCTTGTGGCACCTGCCTAAGTGCAATGAGCCTGGCTGTCCTGGCCCGAGCTGGGCTGAGTTGGCTTGGCCAGAGAAGGTAGGATGAAGCTGTGCAGGTCCAAGAAGCTGGGCAAGGGGACAAGATCTGATGGACTCCGTCTATTTAGGTAGTTTGACCAGAATGGAAATTTATGTCTCTTCTCTGCTTTTGCTCCCCACCAGATCGCTACAGCTGTGAAGTTTCTGCAGAATTCCCGAGTCCGCCAGAGCCCCCTGGCCACCAGGAGAGCATTCCTTCAGAAGAAAGGTACAGGTTTCTGCGGCCTCGCTGAGCAGGGGCAGACGGAAGGCCCGTGGTGCTGAGCGCGTGCGGCGTCACCATGGCTGTCTTCTTGCGCAGGGTGGGGCGTGGGGGTGATGCCAGCCACTCCTGAGGGATGCAGTCAGGGATCGACGATGGAGCCAAGATATTACATGGTTGGTATTATTACAAGATAGGACCTGACCAGAGGCCGAGGACTTAGCCCAGAGTGTTGTACCAAAGGCACTGTTCAGTAGCAGAAGCAGCCCACAGGCTGGAACTCCGGCGCCTTGGCCTTTCCAGGCCGTTTTCCTGTCTGGGACTCTGGCTCTCCGTTAGGTGGTCAGCTGTTTCAGCAAAGAATGAGGAAGAAAGACACAGAGCAGGGAAGCGAGATGACTGAATAAGGTCAGATTAAGGTCAAGCTTGGGGTCAGTCAATTCACGGATTGAAGTGGTAAATTACTGGGTTTATGGTATTTCTGTAAGTGGGGATAAAATTGGATCCTGACAAATTCAATATTGTCTGAAGCAGACAGAATCTATTCTGGTTCTGTTGGAATTTAGGGTATTTTTCTTTTTTGTAAAATAAAAACAAGTAAGCACCAAAAAAGGAACCTTACTTTCCATTTTGTGTACATTAAATTGGAAGAAATCTAGGAAGTTGTATAAAGACGTGTGCGTGCCAGGGGATGGCCACGGGAAGGAGTTTCTTTCCCCACAGCAAGTCTTTCTTTCTTTGCCGGCATGTTGGTCCCTTGTTCTTGGGGTTGAGCTCCCAGTCAAGTTGGCTTAGAGTGCAAGTTGGAGCAGCTGCTGGTCCTTCCTGGGACTGCAGGGGATGAAGACCCACTGGAGCGAAGGCCAAGGCCATGTTGGCCACTTCACGTGGGAGCGTCGTAGGGCTGCCCTCACAGGTGTGGGCAGAATAAGCCAAACCATTCCATCCGTGGGCATCTGCTTGGCAGCAGTGTCAAGGCCAGTCCCCGTGGCAGGCTTGGTGAGGGGCTCTACGCCTGTGCTGGCTGCTCCGTTCTCATCCCCCCCCCCATCATTAGGAGATTATTAAAATTTGGAGTGTGTTGGCTGGCTTCTCTACTCTGTAAGCATCATGCCATAAAAGAGTTTTTCCTTGAAATATGTGTACCTATGGGGAGTAATTAATCATAAAAGCTTAGGGATTTCAGCTCTCTCATCAAAGCTTGGGAGCAGGGGAAAGCCGAGCCTAAAAGCTGAGCTGATTACCCAGGGTAACCTGAGACAAAATCTATGGCTGCTGAGAGATCCTCCACCCTGCTGTATTGTGCAGCCTTCGGACTGCCCGATCTTCCCCACCGACAGTGACCAGCTAGGTCTCGTTTTTGCTCAAACGCAGCTGGGTTAGAATTTCATTTGCAGAAGGTATTTAGAGCAATTTAGAGACAAATGTCTCTGGTGTTTGCTCGGCACTTCCCCACCGCAGGCTTTGCTGAGCAGTTTAGTATCGGGAGCTCCATCTAATCTGTTTAATTTTAATAAATCCCTGACTGGGAAAAGGAAAGAAGAAAAGAGAGAGAAAAAAACTCTGGACCCAATAATGCTTCTTTTAGTTACTTGGCTCGTAATTGCTGCAGAGAGGAAACTGTTTCGTGCAATTATGATTTGTTGTCTAAAAAAAAAAAAAAAAAAAAAAAAAAAAAAAACCACCACCAGTCGGCGAGTTAGTGAAGTCATCCAGGCATTGGATGGAATCCTGCCCTCCAAGAGCTTCGCTTCTGATGGCGGGGAGGCAGGCAGTTAACCAACAGGAAAATGAAATACGTAGTTTGTCAAAGGCAGGTGCCACAGTGGGGGAAAAGGCAGATAATGTGGGAGGGGGAGGAGGAGGGACTCGGGGTGTGGTGGGGTTGGATGGCGTGGGTTGTGGTTTAAAAGAGGGTGAATGTCAGAGTGTCCCTAAGAGTGTGAACGGAGCGAGATCTGAAGGGGCGTTCTCTCCTGGCCGAGGGGTCTGGTTCCTCTGCTTCTCTCGCCTGGGCTGGCGTTCAGGCGTCCAGATGCCTGAGTGGTTAGCCTACCCCGCTTCCGCTCAGGAGAGCCACACGCATTCACCCCGTGCTGAAACCCGGCATCACTGAAGTTAATCACCCGTCTCCATTATCCTCTGAAACACTGCTCAGTCAGTAATTATCCATTTCCGAGTTGAATCCCAATAGGGGAAGTTCTGGCAGGACCTTTTCTGGGCAGAGAATTCCAAGGTTTGATTGGTGTCTGGGGAAGAAAAGCCCCTTCGCGGATTTAAACTTCACTTTTCTAATTTCCGGCTGTTCCTTGGGTCAGGCTCACGCGACCAGCAGAGCTTGGCACCATTGCGGGTGGGTGGAGAGGAGCGTCCACCCTGTCGCTGACAGTGGTTGTGGAAGAAAGGCGTGTCGGCTGGCTGAGCATGGGGTGGGGGGACCGGGCCCTGGCATCCCTGCAGGATTGCCGAGGCTCTGGGTGTGGAAGCCTGGCTGTGGGAGGGTGCTCAGCCCCCGGGCTCTGGCTTCCTAGCAAATGTCACTTCAGGGAATTACGGCAGAGCACTGACCTGAATTATAATCTTGACTTTTTTTTTTTTTAAATAAACATCTCTTTCCTGAAAAGGCAAATCCAATTTTGTTTTTCTTTTAATATTATTTAATATTTAATATAGAAGTTGAGGTCCCTGTAGTGCATGTCATTTCAGTGGAAAATGAGGGTTACTTTAGGCACATCAAACTGAATTTTATTGTGAAGCCAGGGCCTGGGGCCCGGGCTGCCTCCGGCCTCTGGCCCCGGCAGGTGATGTGTAATGCTGTCTGATTTTGGGGTCTGGGACCCAGGCCATGTGAGAGCAAGTGGGTTGGGGAAAGGATAGCTTTGGTTTGCAAAGGTCTCTTCTGCTTAGGTTTTGTATTTTTTGGCTTGGCAATGTCTTTTGGATGCTTTTGACTGTGAATGTGGAGTCATTAATGAGAAACATGGAGTTATTAGAATCATTTATCATTTTCTTTGAAGTTTGTACTGCCATTTTCTGTAATTTACAACATTTTTTCCTTTTATTGGGGTTGTTTTGGATGAAAGAGAAAGCAGCTGTTCACCTTCAGATACTAGAGTAAATGCTTTTGTGTGCCTTCCAACCACTGGGTTCTGCGGACGATAGGTCAGCTGCGGAGTCAGCCACACATGGCGATACTTGGACCGTGTGTGGGGTGTGAGGCCTCACCAAACGGGGCTATATATAGAAGCAGTTCTTGCCAGGCAGGCATCATATCTGGAGCTTTACACAGGCTGCAATCCAGAGCATTAGAGCAACGTACGAACAGCGGCAGAGTCAGTCTGGAAGGTTAGAGGCTTGGAAGTATTGTCAGTAAGGTTATGTTGATTGGACATCCTGTCAACCGCAAAACCTAGGAGGGTCTGCTTCCTGCCCTGCTTGGCAGGCTGAGTATAAACTGGATAGAAGTGGCGCCTGCTCCTGGGGATGGGGTGGGGAGGCAATAAGGTGTCTGTTAACTTCCTCTGATACACCTGTTGAGAAGCTAGCTTCTAGAAGAGACGAGCGTCACATGCTCTTCTGTATGGTCCTGGAGAGACAGGCGGGGCTGGGGTTGTCCGGCACTTTCGCGTTTTCTGCTCTTCTTAAGTGTATTAAGGAAAGGTTTTGGTGGCTTTTTTTTTTTTTGCCTCCCTCATGGAATAAATAGTCCCTGGGTTTTGGTGGGGGTGGGAAGGAAAAAGAAACAAACCAAACACACTTTTAAAAGGACTTTCTCATTGTAAGAGCTGAAACTAGATCTTACCTCTCTCCTGCCTTTTACCGGAAGCAGAACTGCCTCCTTGCTGGGAATGAACTTGAGGAAGAAAGCTGATGGTCTCAACCTTGACGTGGGTGGAGGTGAAGGGCTGCTCTCACTGGAGTGTCTTAGGGGGAGTGAAACCTTACATAGATTCCAATTTAACTCTCTTTTATTACTTTTTTTTTTTTATCATTTACCTCCATTTCATGAGGTAGTTTGCATGTCCTTGAATGGAATCTCGTTACCATGAAAGCTTTTTTAGCATTGATTTCATAACAGTCTTAATTTAATAGCTCCGTCATTACTGAGAAGCTCTGGGAGTGGGGCCCCGGCTTTCCAGGTCACTGACCTTTTAATTACAAACCTTGTTCTGATAGCCGGGTTATCGACTGGACAGCTCCCAGCTTGTGCCCCCAGGATGAAGACGAAAATAACTGTGTTTCCTCCCCCATCTCTAGGAAAAAAAAAGTAACCTCTTGTGTTTCTAAAATTAATTTTCTCCTTCGGCTTTACTTTATAATTAATTCTTTAATGTGTCTTCGTAAAACCAGAAGTCTTTTTCCAGAGCTTTTGTTCCTGGAGCTGGGGTCCAGCAGATAGCTTGGGGGTAGGGGGCAGAGATGTTGCCAGCTCCCGCTGGTGCCCGACCGCGGCCCGTTTCCACGTCCTCAGCAGCTCCTGCGGCCGAGCTGGAAGGCGCGCTGCTGCCTGCTTGGCGCTTCTCAGTCTTTGTTAATGAGACATGGATTGTGGGCTTCAAGACTTAGATTCGGGCCTCTTTTTACTGGGGTAACTGAACCCGGTGTGTGCGCTTTGGGTGTTTTTAAAAAGCCATTGCTGTTATGAGAAAAAGCAGACATCGAAGGCTTTCTGTTACAGCTTCTTACGTCGTCGTCAGGTGGAGATGGCTGTTCCCTGGGAGGAGTTCCACTCTCCGTCGTGAGTTTGAGCCGTTATTTGACCTAGTCCCGTCTCGTGGACTCTTGACAAGAAGAGAAAAGGGAGGGCAGTGGGCAGTAGGGAGGGTGACGGGAAGACCCTGTGTCCTGGACATGTCTCTCTGTCCTGAGCAAACAGGCTGCCTGATGGCACAAGCCTTCCTGCAGAGGGCAAGCTGCCCAGAGGGAGGAAGCGGGCGCGTTTCTTTAAGGCGGAAGAAGGTAAAGGGAGAAGGGTCCTCTAGCAGGAAGTCCTGGTAGTCCAGCCG